AGAGCATCCGATCATCAGCCAGTAGAGCTGAGAAGAGGCTCTCTCAGCAGATTGAGGTTTGATATGTTTGATAATCACATCTGATTTTAATTTGTGGTGGCACCAATGAAACATTGCATGTTGCAACCTATATGTACCTATCATCCCCAGAAAGATATTCACTGTTGTTTGTTTGCTTGAAGGATGACAGTGCAGACCTCAGGTGCCAACTCCACTTTGCCAAAGAGGAATTAGCTCTCATGTGCAAGAAGCTCACCAAGTTGGTATCAGAGAGCGAGGGCATGCGCGAGGAGCTGGCCAAATACCACTCAGCCTATGGCGACATAGACTCAATCCAATCGCCGCAGGGCAAACAACACTCCGCCCACGCCAGGGAGGCGGGGGTCAAAGTTCACCTCAAACTGGTGGAAGAGGAGGCCACGCTCCTGAGCCGGCGAATTGTTGAACTGGAGGTGGAGAACCGTGGACTGCGAGCGGAAATGTGCGACTTGAGAGAGAAAATGGGAAGAGGAGGAGGTGAAGAGGAAGAAGAAGAGTATCGGGATGTGTTGGTGGAAGATCTGTCAGCTTCCACACCGGTGACGGACAGAGAGAGAAATATTAAAATAGGATGCACATTGTTCGAGCAGGGTCAGGACAAGGAAGCAGAGAAAGGTAAGAGTGATGCTGAGACTTCGTCACAGACTGATGGGATGATTACTGCCCGTCATATCACTCGAGAGCGTCCTGTGGGTGGTGAGTGGGACCCTTCAGACAGTCATGAGAGTGATAACAACAAAAAACCCGACAGAGGTCTCAAAGGCATGACGGTGACAGACTATGAAACTCTTCTAGCTCTAAGAGATCATTCCAGCATTTTGAGTTCAGCGATCCAGCTCCTGACGACGCCACCAAAAAATGGCCACAGCGTATCTACCTCATGTGCTTTTACCTCTCCGACAGAGGTGGACTTGAATGACAAGGCACATAAGATATTGCCACCTTCAAATGAGGCTTTGGAGCTTGTACAGGCCATGCTGTTGGCTTTCATTGGGAGAGTGGAGACGCTCCTAACAGGAGAAGATTTTGTCAAACTCTCCGTTCACAAGGACGGACATGTTTGGGATTCCTGCACTGTCTCCCTTCTCTCTGAAGACTGTACAGATCTTAACCTCCAAGAGTCACCAAGTAAGCAGGAGTGTGTAGAAGACCTACGCACCTCAGAGGTTAAGGAGAGAGAAAAACAAATGAGACAAACAACTTTGTTTCAATCGGACCTCATTCACAGCTGCAGGGACCCAAAAATGCGACTGTGCTTGCAGGTCCTGTGGATCCTCCATCAGTGGTGTCAAGTTAAAGGACCCGGGCTGGAGGGAAAAGAGGTACAATTAAATAAGATACTTAAATCAACAAATTGTGTATTTTTATATATAAATATATTTTTTATACATCTTCATTTTTTGATTCAGGGTAAAGACAAAACCATGTACGCGCTGTGGACGTTGTTGCAAGACCTTGGTGCAGAGCTCCGGGATGAGCAGATTGAATTCAACAGTGAGGCCAAGTGTGCGCAGGGCAAGGATGCTGAGGTAAGAATCGTGTTAACCCTTCAGGCATGTGTCTCTCCTGCTGTGTGATGTCTTGCTGATGATCTGGCTCCCGGGCCACACGTCCTCCTCACACTCAGTTCAACGGGCATCATGAAAAGATTCATGCCAGAGTATCTAGGCTAATCTCTTGTAGGGGCTGCAGCCAAACAGGACATGTTCAAATCTGCTGCATGAAAACACTCAACTGATTCTCTGCATTGTCCGGACCTTTGCATGAATATAACGTAACAGCTCCTTAAATATTGTTTCCAGCTGCTTGGTCAAATGCAAATAGAAAGCTTTAATGCTCCAAAGTAATAACCACTGAACTATTGATGTTTTCTTCGCACAGCATGACTCAAGATCTGCTTTGAAGGGCCGGATTTATTTCTTCAATGGTGTTTTCCCTCCTTATTCCACTGGCTAGACTGTAATCCCTCCTTTCCTCTAAGGCACATTTAATACGCATGAGTGCCAAATAGGGGCTGTCGTTTAATGTAATTGAACCCAAACTTAATGGTTTATGGTGTTATAATGTCAATACACAATATTCTAATCCTCACAATACAAACTAAATGATGTGAATGCTCGCAAGTCGTAAACTGGAATCTTTCCAATTTCTACCATCAATCCCACATGACATGAACGCTGCATAATGTTTAGCCACACCATATTAGTTTAGCATGTTAGCATGCTAAGGTTGACCAAGTAGCACTAAACACAAAGTGCAGTTGAGGCTGATAGGAAAGACATTAGTTTAGCAGGTATGTGGTCATAAACAAAAGCATTGAACAAATTGAAATTTTGACCTGATGGGGATTAAGACTCAGAGGATCATCGAGGTACCATTAAAGTCTGTACAAAATTTAATTTCAATCCATCCAATAGTTGAGACATCTGAGTCTGGACCATAGTTGCGGCTCTACAGGAAAATATATTTGTGGCATCATTTACAAGTTCAGTAACTATTTATTATTTATTATTTGGCTGGTGTGTGTTTGTCTCCCTTTGCTCAGTGTGGCACCAGTGGTGTTTTTGATGATGGAGCTGACAGGTGAGTGTTTTCAAAGTGTTCACATCTTAACCATTTTGTTCTTGAGGTCACTGGGGTTATAATACATTCATTGGCTGTTTTCACAGAATGAGCAGCTCAAAAGCAAAAAGACTTAGGCGGCAGTTTTCTCCACGCGGCTGTAAGAGAAAGAACTGGTGCTATCTGAGCCAGGAGGCTGCCCAGCTGGACCAAGAGGACCCTGTTAAGACGTGGGACCATCTAATCATGCCGCTAAGCTTCCCTGATCTCGACTTTGAGCGGATGTCCATGGAGAGGAGCCACACTGCCCCAGAGAAATCTGCCTTCCGCATCTACTACAGCCCCCCGTCAGCTCGCAGAGTCCAGCTGGCTCATCTGAAGCAAAGCCCCGTCACAGACAAACAGTCTGTCAACTCTGGCTCTCCGTGGTGCACGCCGCCAACCTCCTTCTCTCCGCTCTGTCTCGGCTCATCTGCTAACCTCAGCGACGACATGAAGGAAATGACGGCCAGCTGGAGGCAGACGGTTCAGGGCAGTTCACAGGAGAAGAGAGGGAGATCACAGCAGCGGTGGGTGGACGTGGCCTGTTCAGGTACTCAGACCCAGATGAAGCCACAGATGGTGAGTGTTGGTCTGCAGACAGACGGGTCAGTCACTGTGAGAAGCAGTCCATCCCGGGTCCTGAGCACCTCCCTGGTCTCCGCCCGCCTACACCACATCTCCACCTCACTGGACGGGGGACCAGGCAGAGTCGAGAGGGCCAGAGCCTCCACCTCCTCCCCTAAATTTTACCGGAGACATTCCATATCCGGTGCATCCTCTCCCCCCTCATCCACCAATTTGAGCACCTCCTCCTCCTCATCTTCATCCACCTCCAGAGATCGAGCATTGTGGAACCAGAACCACCAAAGCCACACCGGCCTCACATGGAATCGACAAACCAGTAGCAGATCCTGTCCAGGACTGAACCACAACTCTCTGAGCAGCGCCAAGTCTCCCAGCAAACCTGGAGGTGGCAACCGTTACGGCATGGTCACAGAGTTCCTGCGCAGGGTGAGCGGCCGGGCAGAGAAACCGGTACCGGGGTCAGGGCCGAAGACAAAGAACGGTCTGAAGAACCTGGAACGTGTTCCAACGAGGCCCCCCGCCGCACCGCTGCACAGGAACGACAGCGTGACGAGGATCGTCAACCAGAGGTTCATGAAGCAGAGAGAGGAGAAGGGGAGCAGTCTGAACCACGGTGTCCGACACAGCTTGAGTACCGTCACAGCAGAGGTGAGTGTAACAAACAAAATGTCTGATATCTGATAAAACACACCTGCTGCTGAGTTAACAACATCTATTTGCTCTGAACAGGACGGAAACTACGACCACAGCTCCAGCAGCACCCTGACCTTCTGCTTTGCTCGGCCATCTCGCTCCACCCAGAGACAAACGTCAAACCAGAACAAACTCCACCGACACAGATACTCGCCTCCCTCGAGTACGGCTGCAGACTCCAACTGTGAGTGAACGGGCAGAGAAACAGCAGCTATTATTGATACGTCTGGACAGCTGAGAGCGGTCAGAGCGTCAGGGAAGGGAATTTAAAATGTAATCTTCAAATGTAATTCCTGCTGTTGAACTGGGAGAACTGGTAAACCGTATGTAGGATTTTTAAGTTTTCTAACTCAGTCATTGTGTTTTCTTTTGGTGCAATGTATAACCCCTCGTCTCCTTTAACACATGGGCTCAATGTGGATTTCAAATACAAGAAACTACAATGTTGCTCAGCTTAATTCCTATTTACAACTTTAAACTTGATTCAATTGTACATTGAAAATTACCTTTATATTATCTTTGTAGTATTTTGTAGAGAATAACCTTGTTTTATTGAATAAAGATCTAACATCTCAATAACAGGATGTATTGAGATCATTTCATCTACATCTATGTCTTGGCTTCGGTCACACCTCTCCCTGAAATCTGCAGGAACTTGTTTACTCTGCAGTAATCAGCTGCTTCAGGAGGGAAGCTGCAGGCTGTTACGTCACATGCTCAAAAAAAGAAAAAGTAAAAGCTAAGTAGTTAATAAGATAAGATTTCCTCGCCTGTCAGCAGCGTGATCCATCCTTTCTCTCTCTCTCTCTCTGATTGTGTGACTGTTGACTTTCACTGTCTCTGAAAACCTGCAGCCAGCACATGAAAGTTTTGTTTTGTAACGTTGTGACATACCTATATATTAAACATTAATAGATGTAAGTTCACATTTTTTTGGAGCTGAAATATTTTGTCTCCTCTCAGTGGTCAAGGAATGCAGGATGTGATACGTTGCAGTACTGTATCGTACCTGAAGGGGCGCTACAGCTGCAGCTCTGCCCTTTATGTCAGCTGTGTTCCAAAGCCGGAAGTGCTTCTCTGCTCTCCGATATCTACGCTTCAGATGAGATGATAGTCAGTTTAAATTAATGTTGAGTTAGCTGTTAAATGGAGTCTGTCTTCTTGAGGTTTGATTCTTTTGACTTCGCGGCTGATGGCCGGTTTCAGGCCGGCCTGAAGGGTTTGAACACGTGTGACAGCAGCAGAGAGGAAGCCAAACATCTGGACCTGAAGCTCTTCTTTTATAACAGGTACATGTATGTGGCATCTGTGACTGTATCAAAGTACATTTACTCAAGCACAGTACTTAAGTACACATTTGAGGTAGGCCCACGTGTAAGTGACACTTTTATTTTACACTACATTACGGTTTCTCCACTTAAGTTGCATTTATTTAACATATTTAGTTACTTTACAAACAAATAAAGAGCTTCTAAATTTTTTTAACTAGACTGGGCTTATAAATTACCCTACAACATATACAAGTACAGCTGAAATAATACGTATTCCTTATATTTATTGTGTCTTATTTCATTTTCATAATTTTGAGGATTGGACTGTCTGGCATTGTGAAGGCATAACTTTGAGCTCTGGGTCATTTTTCACTTTTTCTGAACAAACAAAAAAAGAGATTGTGAGGCTTTTGCTCTTGCAGAGATACAAAAGCAGCAAATTACACATTTTACAAATCTCCTTTTTCACAGTTTATCTAAATTCAGGTGGAAATACCTAATGTATAAGTACCTCACACATTGTAACTGTACTGTGTTATATGTTGTGATCTTGATGAGGAACTTAATGTTACAATACCACAGAGAATGAAGCCGTGTCTGTCATTTCCAGGTTTGTGGAGCCCATCGACCGGACTGGCTACAAACAGTGGAGCTCTGCTTCTCCTCGTGTGACTCCAATGGACGGTGGTGTTGAGCAGCTGGAGCAGCAGACACTTTCAGACTCTGAAATCAGTGCGAACCAGACGGCAGAAACATCTGCAGAGACGGAGGTCAAGCCGCTTTCCTTTGCGGAGGTGATGCGACTAGTTCAGGAGGGAAAGGAAGTTCCCGGAGCAGCAAAACCTGACATAACACCAACCAACCAGAGTCCCACTCCTTCTCACATGGAGAGGAGACTGAAACCCTGGGAGACATCATCTGTTTCAAAGTGACCTTTTACTGTGAGATAAAAATGTATATATTTTAATAAAGATTCTGAAATATATATACTATATGACATGTTGTTATAGCTAGGACTGAGGATTGAAAAGTAAAGCAGCAACAAGCGCTGAAAAATAATTGGATGAGCAGAACTCATTCAAATCACTCCACAGGTCACATCCGGTCACAACCAGTCGCATACTTAATGTAAATATGAGAGAATGTAACCCAAACTATTCTGTTTACCTTCAATTGTCCTTTCTCACTTAGATTACTGTGGAGAGTCTGACGGTTCACATTAAGTTTAATAAGCTTCCAGTGGTGGAATGTAACTACTTAAGTACTGCATTTAAGTAAAATGTTGAGGTACTTCTACTTCATATTTCAAGACAATTTTATGCTACTTTATTCTTCTGCTCCACAACGTCTGAGACAAATATTGTATTTTTACTCCACATTTATAAACTGCTTTAGTTATTAATTTGCAGATTCAGATTTTTTATTTTAATAAAAATGAACTATTAAATGAACACATTCTTAAAGGGGTACTACGACCATTTTCAAAATTCATACAGTACACTTATGATCTACGAAAACCAAAAGTATTAGTAAACATGAACAACTCTCCCAAATCCAAAAACTACATTGCAAAGGATATGAATATTTCTTCCACTAATGCAAACTTCTGCAAATGTACTGTACTGACAGTGGTATATAGAGGTTATTAATAGATATAGAGAACTAGTAGGACATAAATCTTTGCTTCGTGTTGCCCCTCTATACCTGAAAGATCTGTTCAGGTGGGCTTCACATCCAACCACTAATGCACAAAAGCCCTGGAGGCTGAGGAGCTCAACATGAAGCCACCGATTTTCTTCCACCACAACAAACTACTGTATATACTGCAGCATTGTGAAAAACAATGTTGACCTCTTGTGGTGGAATAAAGGTGCTTTCAGTGGTAACCTCAGATACAGTCTATAGTATAACATAACATGTATAAAATGATTGATACAAAGAAGCAGAAATTATGCAGCTCAGATTTTATTTCCATCAGCTGACGTAGCACCAACCTCCAGATGAACTGAAGTTCCTAATTATCTACATTAAGTTGGACTAAACTACATGAATATAATGATTCAGTTTTTTTTTTTTTACTCAAAGGGGTACCAGGGCACTTGATCCTGAATTTATGTATTTAATTAATCACCTCAAAGCAATAAAACAAGTCAAAATGATAAAAGGAGAAAAAAAACAACAATGTCCGCCCATAAAAACATGCAGCACTGGTTCAGTTCATGCCTTGAGTATAAAATCACAAAGGCCATTTGTTTTTTTCACCAAAGAAAAACGCTTTACATCGCACTCCTCTACATCTCTTTGTCATTTCACTGAAACAAGTAAACATTCAACACACAGCATAACAACAACCTACAAGAAAAAAAACCTGTTTTTGCAGGTGCCAATTAAAGGCAGAGGTAAAAAAACAGCAAAAACTTTACATGCAAAGTTAGCACTGTTAGCGTAGCACCATCAGGAATCAAAAGTCCCAAACAATCAATGAGGTAAAGGTGTCTGTCCATCGTGCATGTCTGTGTGTAACTGCACAACAAGCAGTGAACAGATGCAGAACAGTGACGTGTGGTCAACCACCGGGAGACGAACAGTGATTCAAACCGAAAAACAGCACCAATATCTTCACTTTCAGTAAAGCAAACATGATCCATTCAAACAAAACAACAACGCAGGTGAGCGTTAGATCGTCACACCTGAACAGTACTGTCGATGTTTCAAGAGAGTTATAAAAGCTGTCATTTAAAGAAAGATCAACATTAAGAAATCAAAAGCACAGATATGACACTCATGCAAACTAACAGTTTATGTCTCACTGAGATTAAAAGGACGACAGTGTTTTTTGTGTGCACGCTACATTTAAATTATTGCGGTTAACAAAATGTGTTAAAAAGTTCTTACTTTGATGATAGTAGTAAATAACGATTGCATTCGTTACCGGATAATCTGCAGATTGATTTCTTGATTAATCGATAAATTGTTTGGCTGATAAAACATCACAATGCAATACCATCAATTGTCTTGTTTTTGTCCAACGAACGGTTAAAAATCTAAAAATATTAGGACCACAAACAACAATTAGTTTCATAATTATCATTCTGAAGAATATTTAGTCCTAATAGTTTAATACTTGTTTGGTTTATGAATTGTCTAAAGTCCAAGATGACAAAGAGAAAAGTTGGACCAGACGTTGATGAAACACAAAGCAGGTTATGTGATACACGTGAGGGCCGACTGTCTTCACCAAGCTCAAGGCTCGCTGCTTTGTTTAAAGTTTAAAAGACCCCCTTTAGGTTATTTGAAGTGATGGTATTGATGATTCCCCCTTTAGGTTATTTGAAGTAGGCGCTGGTTTCTAATATTTATTTTCATAATTTCTAAACATTTTCTCTAATTCTCTAAAAAAAAAAACTTTTTTTTTATTACAATTTATTATTTTATTATTTATTTTTCATTATTTTTAGTTTGTTATTCTTTCATAGTTGATTTGTTTTATTTTTTTATTTTTACAGTTCCCCCTCTCCATTAGGGCTGTTTTCTTTTTTTTAAATCAATCACACATTGCTCCCAAAACTAAATGCTGAAGTTTGAATTGTATCTTGTTCTTACAGTATACACCGATAGACTGAGGAAAATACGTCGACCTTTTTTTAATGAAAGGATAATAAAAGGTCTTAAACAAAGCAGTGAGCTTTGGCTGTTCATTTTAATGGGTTGTGAAATATGTTTGCCTTCTTTTAGTGATACAACTTTGTAAATAAGGGGAGGAAATGTGCAAAATCATCATTATGTTCCTTAACTGCGAGTTACACGTCTACTACGTCACGTTTTAGTCAGACCTCTGCAGTCTCGTCCTTATTCAAGTAATATTGAAGACACTGAAGTTGAAATATTAATACTCACAGCTTTTTGCTCTCAAAGAGTAAGCACAAAATATTTTTTGGTATACATAGCAGACCTTAAAAAAGACAAAATGTTAGCACCGATGCAAAATCAGTGAGGTAATTTTGGGCAAAATCACTGGTGCACTGCGGTGAGATGAATGTAATTTGAATAAAAACGTTTTAAAAAGCACAGAAAAAGGCTCATAAAAACAATCAAATTCACCACAGCTACTGATGAACATGATTGGATCAGACTTAAAATCACTGTTAAGATTATTTGTTAAAACAATATCAAATACAGATCACACAGACAGATGTCCTATTCGTAAATTAAATACAGGATAAAAAAGTGTTACTACAGATTTTTAGCCAGTAATTCAGTGTTGAGGTAGAGACCTGAGGCCCGAACCACGACGCAAGTTCAACGGCGCTCTTTGGCTTCACTGAAGCCTTAGAAATATTAGGAACAACATCCAAATATGAGAACGTGTAGGTATTACTATAAAGACATTTTGTCCAATGATGAACGAACAACTATGGATGATTGACTTAAAATAAGGTGAAGTAAAGCTCTTCCTGCTGCCAAAGGAGAGATTAATCATAATTATTAACTGTAACGGCCGTGCTAGCCAAAGTGATTCTACTGCTCTATAAAATATCTCTATTGCAACTTCATTGCTTCATTGCAGATTCAGTGGTTCATGTCAGGATCCTGTAGGAATGACTCACCAGCGTTGCGATACTGGAAAACCTGAACTAAGCCCAAAGATAACCGGTTAACCGTCTGATCTCGCTTCGTGATTCAGGCCAATGTTCTGAGCAAAACTATTGTTTGATCACAGCACCATCGTCTATCAAAGGAAACCTGGGGAAGAACACTAACTGAAAAGTGTCAGTGCCTGCTGGTGATCGTGGCTCATTGACTGACAACTCACAGGATTGAAGGAGCTCAAGAGTAAACACTACAAGTCAAAACAGTCAAATCTAAATTGAGAGTTTGAACAGGCTAGTAAAGCAGGGCGGGGATAAGGCAGTAGGTTTACCGCTGCTGTTCTGTTCACAGTCGCTATTCACATTCAAAGTAATCCTTCAGCGGGGCGAAGAGGTGGCGAATAACGGGGACGCTCCAGGAGCGGCCCAGGACTCTCTGCCTTTGCGCGCGACCCATGTTGTTCACGTCTGTGTAGTGTTTGGGGAAGCCAAAGATCCTAAAAGAGTCAATCAGGTTGAAAATGTTACAAGAAAAGAAAACTCATCATCTAATATGTGTTCCGAGGTCACAACCCCAGAGGTGGACTACAAGAAAAATATTTTCCAAAAGGCTTACTGTTCCATTTCGGTGCACCACAGGTAGTCCTCTTTGCCGTTCATGGTGACAGGAAGTGAACCCATCTTTCCCTGCCTTATAGAGTTGGACTTTGTTGTGATGGTGCGGACTTTCTCGAACTGCAGGAAGAGACGACGTATCAGAATCAGAGTGTTTCTACAGAGTTCACCAACTTAAGTTTAAGACATTTTAAGACCTTTTTAATACCCCACAGAATGCAATTTAAGAGCTGCAGATACCCTGGTTAGACGGTTGCTTCAACAACAACAACAACAATAACAGAGTCAGGTTATCATCTATCATCTATAGAAAACCAAATGCTTCTACCATTGCCGTGCGTCCGCCTTCCAAACAATCCTGGAGGCCCACTTTGTCATCAAGAGACGTAGCAAGAGGTCTAAAGAGAAATGCAGACAGGTGTGTAAACTGAACAAATAGGGATCCATTTATGTTTTACAGTGTGAGAATATGCATGAAGAAAGGGCATCTGATTGTGTATTATTATGTACCTGTTCATGCCAGGGAGGTTTCCCCAAAAGTAGCGTGCTCTGTGAGCAGGACTAACTTTGATGGCATCGATCAAAATTGGATTACACTGGAGAAAAAAGGGAGAAAGAAAATAAATGAACAATAAAACTTAATGAAGTCGGTTTCCTGCCATTGGGCTGAAGAGGCTACTTTCACCGGCTATCAAAAATAATCACCTCAAGGAATCTGCAGATATCTGATTTATCATTGCCACTCATGAAAACCACGTTCTCAAACAGCCAGAAGAACGGACGGTCGTCGCCCTCCTTCGGCTTCAACAAGTGCAGAAGGCGGTAGAACTCAAAAAAGAGCCTTCCAGTGCCCTCTGCAGGACAGAGAGGGAGAGAGAGAGAGAGGGTTATTAAAGAAGAAGAGTTAATGTGTGTAGAGCATGCTGAAACCAGTATCCAGTATTTCATCAGTAACTACTTGTTACAGCATGCACAGCTACCAAAATGCCTTTCACAGGCGTTTGAAAGCTGCATACCAAATAATCCTTTTCGAAGAGGGTTGACCATGGACAGGTCGTTGCACGGACTGCCTCCAATCAGAAGATCAAATGGACCCCATTCAGCCACCTGCAACACACAACTACATTGTTCAACTTGAGTTCATGTTCTTGTGTTGTCTTTAGCCAACGACCACTGCTCCAGCTCCTACTCACGTGTTTCCTTGTGATGGTCCGAACATCGTTGACATACTCGATCTTTCCCTCGTGCTTGATCATCCCCACAGCGATTGAATCGTCACAAATCTCTGAAGCAATGTAGCGCTCCATCTTGAAGCCCAGATCTCTGAGCACCAGGTAGCCTGTCATGATGCAACAGTAGTTAAAAACAGGTCACTCATAAGGAGGAATACACACAGTTTATTCAATGTAAACTTCAGAAACGTTTTGTTTCAGGTAACTGTCTGAGTGAACCTTTCAAAAGACTCAGTAGCATGAAGAAGACATCACAGAGACCGCATGAGTTTGTCTAAAAAACAAGATTGTCACATAACAGGATAACCAACCTGTTGCAATGCCGTCAAAAAGCGAGAGCACCTTGATTGGTCGACGCTGGTCAGCAGGGATGGAGGGGTAAACTCTGTGAGGCTCCTGTGATAAAAAACAAAACAACTTTCAGTACCACTGCACCAATTAGTTAAATAACAGCATTCAGCAAGAGACAGTTGTAATCTACCTAAAACCTGTTAAATCAACTGGACCTTTATTTTTGTTACTAGTTAAGAGTGTAACGGTGTCAAGAACGGAAGACTTGTCACTAGAAATATGATGAATCTTGACTGTCAGGGAACAAGGACGACTACCTAAAACCTGTAACTACATGTTGTGTTTTCCCCTTCAATTAGTTGATTAATCATTGGCATAAAATGAAATGGCAACTAGTTTGATAATCGGTTAATAGTTTCAGTCATTTATTAAACAAACACACCTAATATTCTCTGGTTTCAGAGAACATATAGTTATACATTTGAAACCTGAAAATTTCTGCAAATGACTTTGTGACGTAAAGAATAAAGTAGCAGTGGAACTACAGAGTTTATCCCTCAAATTAAACAGAACGAACAACTTCAATGCCGAAAAAATGTTTTTGTTTGTTTCTCAAACTAATATAATTTTGCTGACGCCGTCTGAACTAGAAGTGTGCGCTGAGAGGATAAAGTGTGGTACGTACGAACGCCATGGCGCTGTTGTTGGCAAAGAAGTCCTGAACCTTGACGCTCCAGTCTGGTCTGAGTTTGAGGTTTCCTTCGCACTGTGACGGCTTGCACATGTAGCAGCTCCATGGATCGATGTCTTTCAGCTTGTCAAAGGTTCCCGGACCCACCAGGATCTCCACACAGTCCTTACAGAAACATCTGGGACAGACGGAGAACATCCGAGAACATAAATGTCAGTGAGAATATTATAACTGTGCAGACACAAAAAAAAGAAATGGGGCAATGTAGGTAACAAAGAGTGACCAATCTTCATTGACCATCATTTCTATTTATTATTAGTCATTGAGATAGTTGAAAGTTATGGAACGTGGCTTGAAATACACATGAGGACAACCAGGACAACTACCAAATGACCTACTACTTTAAACCCTTAGTGCTCCTTCTGGTAGTCCTAACTAAGTCAAATATGAACAGACATATAATGCACTGTATTATTATATTCAGTACACTTTCTGAGAATATCATTATCTCCAATAATCAACAATAAACATCCATAGACACACTTTGAAATCATTATAAAAAGGCTCTTTAAAACTCCAGAACTTGCCTGTGAATTATCATATTTTTACGGTTTCTTCTGTATCAAAGTAATTCAGCAAAATCAAGCTGTAGCACACAGCGCAACTCACTGCATCCACATTTTACTTTCTGTTACTCCAAAGCATTATGGGAATTGTAGGAGTGTTCCCCTACATTTTTGCGCCAGTGCTTAATTTTCACAAATTCATTATTATTCTCTGTTCTCGTGTTTCAACAGGTGCGGTGGAGGCACTCCACACACACACACACACACACACACACACACACACACACATAGATAACGATGTTGGTACTGGTTACAAGCAGGCTCGGTAGTGAACAACATGCTAACGTGCTGGCGGATTCAGTGATTTTGTGTTTTAAGTTGAACATTCGGTCAAACCAGATCAGTGATGTTGTTCTGCCCTCATTGTTCTCCGTGAAGTTAGCTGTGAGTGATGTAATGTAGCCCCGGTGTGTTTTATGTGGAGTGATCACTGTGCCAGTTTAATAATAGTCTTTAAATAACTACTTTTCTTGTCAGCAACCAGCTTTAAAAGTGACTTATTTTCTGTTTAAATAGGTGCTGTGCGGTGGATCTAAAATATGCTCAGAGTGGTTATTGTGAACTTTGGAAAGTGACTGATAAATATTTGGAAAAGTAATTGATGAATATTTAAGTGTTGTATTTGAGAGCAGAATGTGGTATGATGGTATGTGGTAGAAGGACTGTTTAATTGGGATTTTTTCTTGGCATGTTAGTTTTACAATTACTTTCTTGTCATTCACAACTGTCATTTTGATAAACAATAGTCATCAATATAACACCTGAGCTGTGTTTACCTGCAGCAGCTGGCGTTGCCACACAGAATGACCTCTGTGCCGCCGCAGCACACGGTGCAGTACGACTGGTAGCCGTCTTCATCGTAGCGAAACAGTGTCTCTGTGAAGTTCCCCTGCAAACAGTGACATGTTGGTTGTGCAGCATTTGGGATGTTAATCGCAGCAGTGTTTCAGATGGAGGTCAGACATTCACTAACTGGGCTGGAATGGAGTAAAGCAGGCCAGATAAAGTAGACAGAGATAGATTGTTGGATTGTAAGATTACCTTGCATTTCAGGCAGAGACCGCCTTCAAACAACGGGTGCTGCACTTCAATCTCAGTTGATCCACAAGACAAACAAAAATCTGAAATACCATTTTTAGAATTAGGAATATTTATGTCGAAGACGGTTTTAAATCACATACTGCTTCAATACGTTCAGACAAAACTTACTTTCAATAGTTTTGCCTTTTTCTTTGACCATTTCTCTTATTAATTCTGTAAAGTAAAATATTACAACAAATCACAAATGCGGAAAAATAACGAGGACATAAAATGACTGAATCTAGCAGGTCATTTTTACTTTCATAAGAGTTTCTCGTCATGTTTGTGGATCAAATGTGGACAAAAATAATACGTACCTCTGTCGTAGGTGATGACGGGTGCGTTTGTCTTATTTTTAAGAACGTATTTCCTTTTTGCTGGAGGCTGGCAGTCAGACGTTGCAGAGTCAGAATCTTGATATGCAGCGGCATCTTGAAGACAAGGAAAAGATGTAATCAAGATTCAATGAAAACAAAAACCAAAAGAAATTGTTCAAGTGGAAGTGTTTGTAGAGCCACAGAAAGACATCTACAAACTGACGGAGCACGACAAAATGTGATGACGAATTGTGGGTTTATTTCTAAAATCTTATCACACATAGCAGCACTGTCTGAACCAGTCTACTCGCTGAGTCTTTCTGTAAATCCAGTCATTAATAAATAAGTAAATGTTAATGAATGTACCAGCAGGTGCAAATCCTTCAGGTCCGGAAGGCAGGAATCCTCCAGAAGCCCAGTCCAGCATCATCTTCAGCTCTTTTTCTTTATTTCCTTTCGCCTCAGCAAAAGACTTCCGACATCGCTCACCTGCCAACTGAAGAGTACACATTCAACAAGTTACAAGTAAATGTTTGCAAAAACAGACATTATTACCATTGACAGAGCCAAATGGTCACTCAGCTGTTTGAAATCAGATTATGTTTCATTAATCTATTTCCACAAGCTGTTTATTAAATGCTCAGTTTGGTCCTAATCCACAAACCTTCTGATTGCATCCAAGTGAAAGTAAAAAATAAATAAAAAATGAATAGCCGCTGAGCCAACATATTTGTTTTCGTTGTTAGTTGTCACTTGTCTGATAAAGCAGCAATTACCTTTTAACAGAGATAATAATAGTGAGATAAGAACTAATTCATATTTAAAATGTTGCATTTGAATAGATGGAAACAGATGTAATAATGAAAAGAGTGCATTGGTATTGAATATGTTTTAAAGGTTCAAATACTCCAGTATATAATAATAACTCTGTTATCCATTCTGCTAAACTCCTCTTATTAAACTGATAAAAACACATTAAAGACGGGAGATTTTCTGAGTGAATCTGGGCATTTTTCACCGCAATCACGGTGACACATCTTGAAAAATGACCAGTCTATGAACTGACTTCATACTGTCTGCTTCCATTTGACCAAAACTTTATCAGAAAAGACATCAGACGTGAATCCGTTTTGAGACACGGGATGTGGTACAAAATGTTTTGATTTTGTGACGGACACATTTTGGTTTCTTACCTCAATGATCTGGTAGATGGCTTCCTTGTAGATGGGCAAGCTGGCAAAGGAGTTTTTGCAGAAGCACTTGGTGAAGGTCCTAAATGTCAACAGACTCTCCGTATAGATCTGGAACAGAAAGTAATGATGATGTTAAAGGTCAATTCAACTCATGTGAAGTGTTTCCGCAGCTCAAGCACATTAACTGTACTGCTTACCTCCGAGAACATCCCGTCTCCGAACCACTCCACCCTTCGCATACCCGGGGCAGCTGACTTGGTTTTCCAAGGCATCACCAGCCCAGGCCACCAGGAAAAGCCTTTCACTTTCCCCCACACCAGCTCCCCATTCAGAAACCCTTTCCCATCCTGCAGATGTAAAAAACAAAACAATTGACAATTACTTTTCACCTCAAAAAAGAAAATCTAACAGACATTTTCTATGACATTATGTTTGATCGTCAGAGTTCGAGAACAACTGTATTGTTGGCCTTTTCTTGTAGCTGTTATATTACCTGGTAGGCCTGTTTCCGTCGGCTTCTTGGTGTGGGTTTACTGAAGGGGGATGTCTCTTCTGCCTGAGAGTCAAACACATTTAAAACAGAGTCAAATATTTTACCCTAAGCGGCCCACACAGATGCCTTTTTTTGTCTTTTTAGGGGGTGCCAGGGGATCTTTAGGGGGAGATAGCAGGTCAGCAGTATCATCTGAAAGCTGGGAACCTGACGTTCATTTTGAGATGCGGCTTAGAAGTGTGTGACAAGTATATGATGGCCATACAATGCTCTGTTACGTCTCGTAAATCGCAGCAATAATTTTTTTGGTGATACCATTTCAAACACAGATTTGCTACATTTTTTTTTTACCCCTCGAAAATTGATAGAAAATCCCTTTAAAATCCCACATTACGACACCAAGACCTTGAGCAACACCATAGAAAAAGCAATGCTGTGATTTGGTATCAAAGATTTTTGACAATTTGCATTTGCATTTTTGGAAATTGGATGGCAAGCTCCTCAGATATTCAGATATCTTGAGGTCTAGGGACCCCTCCGAAAATCACCATACCAGTTGTCCTTCCCCAAATCTTTTCCTAACTGTGGAGCATTGTCCAGCACTCACGCTGGATTCATCAGGTCGTCGAGTTTCATATGATACCAGTATCTTCACTAGAACAGGTGGGCTTTCATGTTATGTTAAATGTAACATAAAATGTAACAATGGCTGCACCTATGTTCATTTTAAGGTTCCCTGTGGTGTTTCGGACCTCTAGTAGCCTTATTCAAAAGAACTCAGATCATTGTAATCATGAAATCAGATGCAAAATGTTTTGTTTTGTTCTAATGGCATTTCAGCGGGCAGAGAGGCCAGTCATGGCCCAGTGGTATTCTGGTAGTATACTTGAATACACCTACCACCTCATCTTGGGACTCCAGACCCTTTTTGCTGTCCTTATCAACACCTTCGGGGGTGGACCAGGTTCTAGCACCAGCCTGAAACACTGTACGGGCCTGTGGCTTCTGGCGCAAGCTGCTCTCCCAGCCATAACCTCCTCTAATAGCCATCTGAGAGACAATACACTCCCATTACACACTCAAATATCATGCACATGCAAACATGGGCAAAAGGACTGTTAGTATAAGAGGGTGGTGTCCGTCTAGTTGTGTGTGTGTGTGTGTGTGTGTGTGTGTGCGTGTGTGTGTGTGTGTGTGTGTATAGCTGACTGTTTTAATGGTCAGATGATTAACAAGTCCTATTTTTCATTAAAGATCCAGCTTTTATAACCTTGTTCTTTGCTGAAAGTGTGTTACCTCTTTCCACACAGCGCCATTTTGTTCAGGTGTATCGGCATTCTCTTTGGAAGGAAATGGAAAGTATTTTAGTATGTTTTACTGTTGAGATTATTACAAATACTATATCTGCATTCTGACATGTTAAAACTGGAAATCTGAAGGATTACAGAATCCTGAACCCGATGCTCATTACAAAATATTTCAAAAATAAAAGACTTGCCAGAATGCTACCGTGGGGTTTTCCTTTACTTACGATGTATCTTCGTGAGGCGGACTTCACAGTGCTTCACTGTCGCATTAAGGCCATTCTGGTCTAGAAAATCAGATATAGGTGTTAACGACATTTGGGATCGATTACATTGACATCTTCGTACCTGCAAACTCATAAAAGGTGAACCCAAAACCCGGGAGAATTTTATTTTAAATATGAGCTTTAAAATGTAGCATTCTGTTGTACTCTGAGAAGAAAATTAAGTGATAAGACATTTACTTTAAGCAAAAAACTAATTTATTATTCAGTTATTAATCAGTATTTCAGCTCTAGTTGAATAGCTGGCTAGTTAGCTTTTTTTTTCCCTTCAATCAATATTATTATTATTAACCTTTATTCAGACAAAACCCATTGAGACCGAGGTCTCATTTTCTAGAGTTTTAATCAAATAAAAACACAGATAGCAAGAGTAGCGAGAACCATCGCCTGTACAAAGAAAGTGATTAGTTTTCATTGAACCCTGTTACTCTATGGCTTACTATTAACTTCCACTGTTACTGTAAAGCTGTTAGAATTGTGGCCTATCATCTATTTGCAATTAATATGCATTCAATCTAGTTCAATTATTTAAATTAAAATGATAATCTACTCTGGCTAAAGTAGCTTATCAAGAGTAAAATAATAGCTGTGATCTATACACACCTCTGCATTAGCAACCCGCTGAAATGAAGGTACAGGCACCTTAACACTCTTTACTTCAGGGTTCTTGGGAGCAACTGCACGTGGGACTGTTGGGACTGTTAGTACACTGGCTGTGGTCATTACAGTGAACGGTGTGTACAGTGTGATGAGAGGGCATGTGAGCCCTTGTTGCTGTACTTTATCTCCTTGGAGCAGAGGCTGCAGTTAGCATACCCTGCCTTATCAATATATTTAAAACTTCTAAATCGCGATACTGGCGAACGTTAACAGTCGACAAAGTTCCGCATGCAGTGGACGTTAACTTAACCCAGCAAGTCTGAGCTGTAACGGAGCATAACGTAACTTAAACTGTAACGGAGAGAAGATGTAGACATCTTAACGCTGATTGGCCAAGACTCGACACGTCACATCAAAGATGTTTTATTGCGAAGATCACGACATCACCTTTTCTCCTCGTCTCACTCCAATCTGAGAAACGGTGGCTGGCCAGATGATTTATCAGATTGTTAAATCAAGTTAGATGCAAATTTCACTTTACCTGATGGATTCATCTTACCTTCAGTGTGAGCTGTGGAGTCTTTGTTGCTGGTGGAGTCAGAGAGAGCGCTGTCAGACGTGTGGTCACACTCGCTTTCTGTCAAGGCCTCGTTCTCCGAAAACATCGCAGCATCTTTGTTCTCCAGGGCCTGCGACAGGAAAATACAGCAAGTGCACAGAATTAATGATATTAAAGATGTGAAGACTAAACACAAACAAAAGATGTTTTTACATACCTGAGTGAAAACCTGCTGAGCCTCTAGGGGAGGACAGGGAAGAGACAACAGGGTCAGAACAAGCTTTCTGAAGATTGATGTCGGATTGATGTCCTTCAGTACGCTAGCCCAGTGTTTCTCCGGAGAAACCACTTCTGACTTGTCTTTCTCTCCCTCTTCAGCATGCTGATACTCAAGGAATTCACGTGTGAGCTGGTTGACCTCCTCGGGGGAGCTGCAGATTCCCAGCTTGGTCCCAAGCTCCTCGACCACTTTCCCAGTCACCTTCACTCTGCTCTGGGGGTTCAGCAGCTGAGCTATGCTACGTAGCACCTCGTCGCTCTGAGGCAGCTCCTTTGCAATGCAACCCGTGAGTGCAATGTAGAAAGACAACACCTCCTCTTTTAACAGTGGCAGTGCATCTGTAGCCTCAGACTCATTCAGGAAGTCTTTCACAGCTTTCCCACCCAGACTGAGTTTGGGGCCTGACAGGTGGAATTTCTTGTCCTTAAGGATTTGGGGATCGCGTTCTTTGAGGAAGCGAGCAGCAGCTTCAGGTTTAAGGAAGTAGGAGGTGTAGGTGCACAGCAGGCTACTGGCCTCTTCCAGGATGAGCAGCATATCCCCTCGGGCAGCTCCCTCCTGTGCCTGCAGATGCCTTTGGAAACTGTGCAGAGGCTTCAAGGCCTGCTCCAGGAACATAAATGTTGCCCTGACTTTGGGATCCTGCAGCTGTGAGCAGATTAACGTGGCCTTTTTATCGCCCTTGTCACAAGACTTGAAGTAAATCATGAGATCTGTCCATATTTCTACGATTTTTGGGACCAACGGGAAGATTTTAAGGCAGCTGGCGTTGAGATGAGATGATGGACTATCCGCAGTGATGTCCGAGCCAAAAAGAGCCTCGAGGTTGACATTCTTGGTAGTGCAGGAGGAGTAGTGAGCATGGATATCTACCATCAACTCTTGAGCCTGATCGGAGAGCTCCTTAATCCCAGCATGGCAAGCAGCATCCGCGATGGCATACAGCCCTCCTAAGGCTACTATGTTCGGGTTAAGTTCCCTGAGCTGCGAGTAGATCTGCTCTGAGGCCGCACCGTTACCGTCAGAATAAACAGCGGCAATATTATCTGTGTGTAACCCGGATTTCTTCAAGGTCTCCACCACTGCTGCTGCTGCCGTTTGATCTTCTGCGCCATCCTCTGACTGATGAGCATCCAGAAATCGGATGCAGTGCCTGGAGGTTTTGACATCAAAAAACCCAACAAGGACCACAGAGACAGTGTCGTCCTTTCCCAGTGTACACCCTCCATAGATGTATACACAGTACGGAGTGTGTTGGCAAACGGACGCAACGTCGCTGGGATACTGCAACTCCAGTTTACGGCGTGCAAAATGTCTAGAAACATGTTCGCCTTCAGCGGGGCCGGTGTAGCAGTGCTTGCGAATGAACCGAATAGCTGCGTCGCTACGGGGCAGCGGTTTGGAGCGATTGCTTTTACGGCTAGCGATGGTGGATATTCGAGCCCTTTTCTTGTGTTTGATTGTTTCCTCGTGTCGCCTGAGTTCAAAAGGGCCTTTCTGAAAAGTCTTCAGGTTTCTGTCGCAAGAGCGGCAGAAGGTAGATTCCTCTCCAAGAGCACTCTGGTCAGCCCAGTCAAACATAGCCTTCCACTTCTCAGTGAAAGGGTACACTTTAGTCGTCACAGTGCCCATCTCCTCCGTGTCTGAATCTAATTTAGATCCGTCTGACAAAGAAAGAGGAAAAAATTATTGCTGCACAATTACTGTAAATCTGATGAACGAAACACAATGCACTTCTTTATTATACTATCACAGTGAAAAAGATGTGAAGTTACCTTTGTGCGATTTGTGAGGTACCACAATGGGGCAGATATCCTGGTTGTCCTGAGCCTTCACATGGCTGTGTTCTTTATTTTTCACATTTGCCGTGTAGAAAGCTTTGAACCACTTTAGGACCTCAAAGTTTGCTTTTGAATCCCCTTTTATGAGCTGCTCAACTGGAATAGCCTAAAACAAGATAAAGAAGACATGACAACATTTAGAAATGAACCTAAACTTCCATATTGACTTCCAAAATCTGCCTACCAGCACCTACCAGCTGTAATGCTACTCTGCAGGAGAAAAAGTGCATACCTTTGTGATACCGCTCTTGCTGAAGGCCTCGTGTAGGAGACTGAAGTTGTGCTTACGGTCATCCTCACGTTGTGCATCGAGCTTCACCTTGGTCATGTCAACGGAGCCGGGAATGACCAGGTCCATGATCTGACAGTGATATGCACCTGTGGGATCATACACACAACACACATGAAGACAGTTCAGAAAGTGCTGTGTAAGCAAATGAAGGGAACAACACTCTTTTGCTGTTTTTACAATAGTAGTTAGGAAACCTACTACATAACAGTGAAATAGGGTTGATTTATAAAAGTGTGTATACAGACATGTAGGTGTGTAACTGAACTCAGATTCAGTTACAGAGGTACTGCTGTACCATTGTATTGCATTATATCTTCTCAAACTAATGATTCACCTGAACCCATCTCCCGCACATCTTTGAAGTTTGTCTTCAGCAGGTGGTTGATCCAGGTCACCGAAGAAAGGCGGCTGCTTTTGTCCTGGGGGGAGTCTGGAATCACAACCACTGCACTTGCCATTTTGCAGCTCTCTAAGAAAGAAAACTTCATTATCATCATAGTTATCTCATCTTCACGTCTGTAATCTATTTTACATTAACTGTAAATCTAACCCAACCATAAAATCACAACATTTATACATTTACTGTTGGGAAGCTCTGGCTTAGGAGGTGTAGCTGGTGGTCCACTAATTGCAATGTTGTGCAGTTAAAGGTGTCTGTTACAAGAGCTGGGCGATATTGCCAGAATCTTCTATTACGATTTAGATCATTTCAAATCTCAATAATGAGATATATCACGATATAGCATTTAGCACAACATTGTTTTGTATACCTTTGTGGGAATTAAATACTTTACAAGTGAAAAGTACTGAGCATTTTCTCATTTAATTAAGAACATCAGTGCAAAACTATCAAATTTTCTGGAAATTATGACTTAGTATGTGCTTGTTATTATCATTTTAGACTAAGTAGTTGTGTATCACAATATCTCAATATACGATATGATTCCATTGAAAGACAGTATCGTATTGAATACTGACATACATGTTTTTCAGTGATGCATACCCTTCCAAATATTCAAAATGTTGATATTGTTATTCATTAGAAAAACATGGCTGTCAGTAATGCCAGAGCTATAGTGTTTACCCCCACCCCATGGCAGGCTTCCATGGGTGGGGGTAGTGTGTGAGAGTCAGTGGGTGGTTCTAATCCCTTATTGTCTACTTGTGGAGGACAAAGACTGCCTGCTTTCCGTCAAATATCCTTCACATTTACGTTGTTTGGGTTGTATCTGACTTTTCCTTCGAGCTGTAGCTTGGTACTAAAGGACATGTTAAGCCACGCTGCTGCTGTTTCTCCCCACCTTCCTCCTCAATGTATAGAACTCGTAAATGAAATCTCGCGTTGTCCATTTTTTTTCTTGCCGCGAAACGTCCCCCCAGTGTACAACTTTCACCGACGAGGAAGCTTGAGCTTCAACATAAAATCCTATTACTTTACTTGCAGGTTGGAAAACAACAAATACAAGGAACTAAAAGTCACTACCACGACAACCGGCATGTTTACTTCTACAGTCAGTGTTTGTCTTCCAACAGCTCACATTACATGCACGGTACAGATGTTGCTGCCTGGTTTCACATAGTGGCAGAGATCTGTACAAGTAGCTAAAAGTGATACACTGTAACAGCTCGAGACAATGGAATAACAACCGAGTGTCCGCGCACACGCAATGTTATTACAGCATGATTAAACTAATTGAAGACAATCGTATTAATTATTAGTAAGTTAAAAAACACCCCGGCTCCCGATCCTATATGTTATCGCCGTGTGTATGTATCAGTCGGTCTTTGTGTTGAGAGCCTGCAGAAGGTTTTAGATTTTGCAACAAATCAGGACAATAAAAAGCTGTAACACGGCCCTGTGCATAGTCATCTGTAAACCGCCTTTATAGGAGGACGTCTCAATAGAATACAAGCGACTTGGCTGTGTGTATATAGACAATAGTGAGTTCTGGGGTAACTTACCTCGCTTTTTCCCTTACTGGAATAGATGATTCTCCTTACTATTAGCTTCACCCCCTAGAGCACATTTTACGATGGCCAGACCGGCATCAGCATTAGCATCATCATACGCCATTGGACGAGCTGTGCAGGAGGCGGGCCCATCTACAGCCTACACTACTGATATAGCTAATAAACTGTTCTGAGATCACGAAACTGTTATAACGTGAACACGGGCTGCTCAATTATTAGCACAGTGAAATGATTGCGCTGGCAGAAAAGATACATCTTGCTTATTTTCAGGTTGTCAGGAAAAAATGGCTGCTAATAAAGCCAACTCATTAACGGTAACAGTAAATTGAAGTTACTCAGTTTATGTGTAAATACACCTGATCCACTCAAAATTAGCTCAGACTGATTAATGATCTGTAAACAACTTGATTGCACTGCATGACAGACAAAGCACTTCTATCTCACTGACTTTCATTTGGTCGACAAGCATGCTAACGTAATTAACCTTAGTGGCCTAGTTTAACGTTAGTGGCCTAGCTGTCCCTAGCTTTACGTTAGCCTAATTTAGAGCTCGCAGCTTCCGGTGTAGTCCTTCGCCCTGAAATGTTGAATTACACGTCTAATATTCATACACTGTAAATTGGGTGTGTACAGTGACTGAAATAAATTCGTCCACCTTCGTTAGAGTAGCTGGTTATAGACGTTTCTTTTCGTCAAAGGACATATATTGTCGTGCTGTGGTTCTAAGCTAACTGTAACATCCGGAGAAAACCGTGTTTCGCCTATTGTAACGTTGAAGACATCGTTTTCACAAACACGCAGTAGTGGCGGCTGTGTTGCAACGACTGTAGTCGTTTAGTTATCTGGACTGTTTCCTACAGTTTATGGCTATAACCGTTACTACCTATATCGGGTTTTGTTTTAATTGTAATGGCGCTCTACAAGGACAACCGTTGGACGGAGTATAGTACTCAACGATCCTCACGACGAATTAATCACGGAAGAAACTTTAAGTTTGATGCAGCTCCTTAAAAAAATGATTGTGTGGTGTAACTGTCAATTGAAAGGGTTAATAAAAGAGCGCCCCAGCGTAGCCAATATGGCGCCTATTTTGGCCATTTTGTGAAAGGACAGGAGTGAAGCCATTACACCATCTGAACCACGTTAGAGTGTAAAGAAGTGATACCGAGGCCGAATGTCATGGCAGTGTAGTCCTCAGTACTTTAAGTATTTGTTTTCACTGTCACCTTCTACATTTGTTTTGAAATGTCCTCTACAGATAAATATATTATTATCATTATTAGTGTTATTAGTATTATTATGCCAATACGCTGTGACTCCAACAAAACAAACGTTGCTATTTAAAATCAAACATTGGCACACAGTTGGCAGCCTATAGACACAAAAGTAGATGTGTTTAACTGCTTAACTGCTCAGATGCTAGAATTTTAATAAAAAGATCAAAGAATATCTTACTTCTTCAATATGACACAAAACAGCTTTTAGGCCTAACCTGAGTGATCAGAATCCATCTAATGTGGTTATCAAGATTTTACAGAATAAAGATAAACTTGTGGACAAACTGTTTAAAATATATATTTGGCATAAATACATACATTTTTCTGGACTGACAGTCAGTAATCACTGATACTAATACATCATCCATAAGATTATACCGACATCCAAAACAGTAGAAACATAAATTGACCTATATCTCTTTGACACATAATGAGGCAGTGAGTCAGTGGGGCAGGAGATCTGAGTATAAATAGAGATTCACTAACAAGGACCACACCAATAACAATATGAGTTTCGAGAGGTTTATTGCGTGATGGAATGATTGTTAGATTTAGGAAGCGGAAGGGGTTGAGGGAGAAGGATGAAGGGTAGGGATAGGGGTAGAGGGATGAAGAGGTCTGGGTGGAGGGATGAAGGGATAGGGGTAGAGGGATGAAGAGGTCGAGGTGTAGGGATAGGGGTAGAGGGATGAAGGGATGTAAGAGTGTAGGGGAGAAGAAACAAGGAGGGTAGAGAAGGTCATAGAACGAAGGTTGGGCGAGCGATGGGGGACCGTTAGTGTCTGATGGCCGGCGGGAACTGGGGGAATGGAGACTGTAGAGTGGGGGCCGTCCCTTTGGAAGCTCTGGTGGTGCAGAGTCCCCTGTTGTTTCTGTAGACCTGCAAGAGAGAGACAGAGAGAGAGAGAGAGAGAGAGAGAGAGGCAGACAATAGACAAAAACGGGGTTGGGGGGAGGGATGTGAAAGAAGAGTCGAAGAGGAAGTGAACAGGTTCGTTGTGCTTAAACACTTTGTGCAGAAGAAATGAGCTTGTGTTCAGAGCGTGGTCCATGTTCCTGAACTAACTTTACTCAATCTACTGGGAGTGACGATCCACATCTGAACATGGTCTTATCTTGGTTTATTTGGGATATGGCTTACATGAAAGATACAAAGATCTGGTTATTCGTATCCTATACATTATCACAGTTTCATGCAGTATTTTTCACATCTCAGCCACGATTTACTGTACCAATAGAGAAGAAACCTGGATAAGATATCATCTGCTGGTTTCAGGCTGAAGTGTGTCTAAAGCGATGCACACTACATTATTAATATTTTCATTTCATGAAATCACTGTGGGACATCAGTTCAAAATGCTCCTGAGATGGATTTGTCTTCAGTGAGCTTTAATGCAAACTGTTCGCACTGTGCCCCATTTGCACTTTCACACAGGAAGTAATGTTTCTGTTTCTGTTTTTGGATGCACACAGGCTCTCACTGTCCAAACTATGCACTAAGTTTCAGCTCAATTACAGTAGAGCTTGCTTGTAGTCCTGAACCTCTCCGGTGCAACTGAAAAAAGGATATACCTTTTACTGGTACGAAGGATTGATCGATAGGCTATTTAGCAAATAGAAACGTGTTGAAATGTTTATGTTTGTGTGTATGATTGGCTGTAAAAGTATATATATTTTCTATTTTTAATCTATTTGTTTTACATTTGTAGGCTACACTATGTTTTCACTATTATCTAAATGTTGTATTTAATTGCTGTGCATTAGTTTTTGATCTTGTGTTATTACTGTTTTCACTCCTGCACAACAATTGCCCCACTAGGGACAAAGTTGTATTGATATTGAAATCAGTGACAAAACTGTAATGAGATATACAATGTTATATGACAATCGAGGGTCTAAGTAATATGTTGTGCCTTGGAACTTGATTTACATGACTGAAATGAGTTAAAGCTTTTTTTCTGTCATATATGTGCGATAGAGACGCTGGTACTGAGAATCCCTGAGGAGGTCCAGGGGTTAATGTGTGCGTCTGAAATTATGTTCAAGCTCAGGAATGAATGTAAGTGAATGGTTAGACGGGATCACAATGGCTGAACCCTGATGGCTGTGCGTCCATGGGGGGAGCTGATGGTAATGGTATCACAGTATTTATAAATGGATTGACACTGAACCCTTCATGCGAAAAATGCTCTTACAGTGTGAAATATTGCTTTAATACGGTAAATTGTCTCTGACTGTCTTTTTATGGTGTCATTATGAAGTTAGCTCTGGGCTTTTGTGACACCATCTGTGGTGAGTGTGGATCCACTCTGGTTGTAGCCAACAGCAGTGTCACAGGGGTCAGGGTGGGCTTTGTTTGTCCAACCAACTCTCCACCAGCCCATCCTCCCAAAGGGCATGGTTGGCTGGCTAATCAAAATCTTTACTTTTCTTTAATGTGGCTGACGTTCAGTGGTGGTGCAATAGTGGAGAATGTGCAAATATGTGTGTGTTCTTAAGCTAAATGAGCTAAAATGATGTCGATAATTAGCTGTTTTCTTTATAGTTTCATCATGTGTTGGGTTAAGAAGTCACACAAAGGAATTCAGGAGTCTCAATTGTAACCATTCTTACAAAAGGAGGAGAAAAACCCACCATAAATTCCACCGGCTCCAAAGCTGGAATGACTGGTCCAACAAAGTCTAATGTGTCAAGAAACTACTTCAAGTACGATAAATGGTAATATATGTGAACCTGTCCGGATATATGTATTTTTTATCCCTTCATGGATAGCAGCTCTGGCATTATTTTGGAATTGTAAACTCTTGGGTCTTGACGATTAGATTACTCAATGAGACAGACATAGTTGAGCCATTTCTGTAACTTATTAACTCTGGGTAGAGGACATATAGCCCCAAACTGTAAACAATATAATATTTTCATTTTCATATGCCATTTGATCTTGTATACATGTCTGAAGTTATGATTCACTCTCTAATTTTACGCTCTGGCCCCCAGAGGGAAAGATGTTGCCGCTGCACCTGCCTCATAATGCAAATTCAATGGGAAACTGAGATAGCACCACAGTATTGCATACACCATGTCATATCAAGATGTATGAATACAAATCTCCACTTGGAAGACACTCTGTGTCAGAGAACGAGGAAGAAACGTCTGAAGAGAGGTAGAAATCAGAGACGAAGGTCCTTGGGAGCGTTCGGAGGATAAGGACACTTTTAGTATTATTGTGGAAAACTTTAACTTCTGGAGAATTACAGTCCAGCAATGTGCAGCTTTGTTTCAGTTTGTGTATGATGTATATTTAAATTATTAAAAAAAATGTATACTGTAAAATAGTCATTGGTCAACAAATACCATGAAAAGACCAAAACAAATCATAAATTGATCCTACAAACAAATAACTCCAGCTGACCTTATTCTGCCATAGACACCCATGGTTCTCAACGAGCCACACTGGGTGACATGCTTCTTTATTACTGTGAACCATGGGCACTGTAGTTTCTTGTGAGTCAACACCAAATGTGTTCAGACAGACAGCAGCACTGTGTAGAAAAAAAACCTCCGCAGCCCCCTCATTCCTCTGAATGGAGCCGATGCAGAGGCACAGCAGGGGTGCCAAGCAGAGGAATCTGGCAAAACAACAGCAGGGTTGTCTGGCAAAAAAATTTAAAATCATCTACCTAACCAAATACCTGCAGATGGTCATTCCTCTGAGATTACTTTGTAAAGACAACAATCTATTTCTACTATTGACCACCTTACTTATGGATCCATTATTCAGCCA